GGCATATGGGGAGAGAATAAAGAACTCCTTTGTTGTTCACACCTCTTGGTGGGATGGGAACAAGTGCAAGAATCTTCTATGCCAGACTCGTGGAGGTGTTATCTGAACGGAAGCAGCAGCCCAGAAGTTATGTTATAGCCTGGTTGAGATGTCGACTGTCCTTCTCTCTGCTTAGGTCTGCATTGCTTTGCCTCAGTGGAACGAGAGCATCGGCCCCAAAGGCGACAACAGTCACTGAATGCCGCAAAGATCTGCGGCTCAACTACTCAACACAGCCAGGGTAGCTACTTATGTATTAGGATAGTTAATTTTAAGGTAATTAAATGGCGGCAAAGGAGTGGCTATTGGGGGAGGCTGGAGGCCATTTAAATTAAAAAAATTAAATAAAGTAAAATAGTTTGTGTGAGTGTGTGTGTGTGTGTGTTTGTTTGTTTGTGCACGCACTTAGAAGCTAGCAAAATTTAGAATGCTAATTCAGGTTCATATAACATAAGGTAAATAATAAAATTATAAAATATTTCCTGACAGAATCATGCACTTCTCGGCTACTGGAACATACATGCGGACCCATAGGGAGCATGCTCTTGACAACCCGTGTTCTAACCCTCCCAGCAAGATTACCATTACCTCTGTCCTCTCTCTCAGTAATCTCTGGGTAAAAGTTATACAATATCTTTATGCAATATAAAACAGAAAAATAAATTTCCTTAAGCACTAAGATAAGTTTATTGTAGTATATTCTCTCTCTCTCTCTCTATATATATACTTCATTTTTAGTCCATATAACACGCGGACTTTGAACATATAATCAACGACCTCACCAGCAAGGAATCGAACCCTCGACCTACTGGGTGTGACTAGGGAACGCTTACCGGCTAGGCCACAAGGACACTAAAAGCAGTTCTAGACTCTGTTATATTTCACACAAAGCCTGTTCAACGAGCTGATGGCGCCGTGAACCTCAATGGGAAACTGCCCGTGCCTCTTATGTGGTGTCAGTAGCATTTTACCGAATCCAGCTGGTATGAAACGCGAGGTACATATATATACTTCATTTTTAGTCCATATAACACGCGGACTTTGAACGGCGCCATCAGCTCGTTGAACAGGCTTTGTGTGAAATATAACAGAGTCTAGAACTGCTTTTAGTGTCCTTGTGGCCTAGCCGGTAAGCGTTCCCTAGTCACACCCAGTAGGTCGAGGGTTCGATTCCTTGCTGGTGAGGTCGTTGATTATATGTCAATGGAAAGTTATTCTTGTATGGCAAAATATGTTTTGTTTTATAGACTTTGTTTATTATCACAGGGCACTCTAGCAAAATTATACTTCAAGTAGATTAGGAAACATTTACATGCCTTCTTGGAAACCTTGAAATGATACCATATATATAAATTAGGGCACAGAGTTTGACTAGATCTTTGACTTAAATGTAAATAATGCTTAGCATGATTGCAATATAATATGTATTTTTATCATTATTTCCTTACTCGCAATACAACCAAATATATGTCACGCACCTTCATTCGAACCTCTCTTACTTACTAATGGAAATTACGTTCCGCATTCTAGGGCATGTTCGTGGTACTGGCAGGAGGTCACCTTTTGGCAGCGTTGGTCCTATTCCTCGAGCTTCTACATAGTTGAGCTCAGGAGCTTACCCTTACGTCGTCCTAGTTAAGACAAGATGCCTCATCCTAGAACTATGTTGCTGATGACTACAATGAACGCATATTAGGAAGAAAGTAGCATGTCATAATCTCGTTTCATATTCTTTCAAATTCCAAATATCTGATGCCTGAAGTATGGACTTTTTACTGTGAATGCAATACAGTATATAATGAATTAATTTTATGTTATTATGACTGTAAAGGATGTACATTTTGGAGATGATAGCTAATGAAGATCATTATTATTACTTGATCTCAGATATGTTCTTCAGTAAATGGTTAATAAAGAGTTGCACAATTGTTTTGCTTAATGATTCTTTTTGGCATTATTAAAGTATACGTTCTTTCTATAAATCCTCAACATTTGAATTAATAATATTTATGTTATAATCCATCAATTTACCTCGAACTGCAATAACATTACAAAGTACATTTTAATCTTAATACAAATATTACACTAAACAGAGTGAAGACGAATATACAAGTACTTGCCATTCTCAATATTTTAATAAGAAGGATTGTTGGTGCTTCGAAAGGTTAATATTAACATATACGTCACCTCACGTTAAGTCTTCCATACCAAGGTATAAAGATACACACGATAAACTCACACGCAGGGAGAGGAGCGACACCTCCCCTAACCCCGCCAGCCAGCTTTGATTTATCCATAAGAAATGGCTGGACTAAGCCACACCCATATTTTTCTATAGTTCTGTCTTTTTTTAAGAATATAACTTCATGGTCGCAAGATAAATATTCTATCCATGTTAATGGATATTATGGAAAATTATATCAAAAATATTTTCAACCTCTCTACGACGATCGTACATGGGGTTAATTGCAAGATCAGCCATGGTGTACACCATGCCATGGTATCCCGGCGGTCATAATACAATGGAGTGAAAATTTTGTGATTATTCAAAATGGGCCAGGTGGTACTCGACTGTCGTTTGTTGTTACTACTTCATCGTAGTGTAGTCAGGTGTACCAACTGGCAGAAGACTTGGGGGTTGGTATGCTTGCACCCTGAAAACGCGTCAATGGCACGAAACGTTTGCTCTTCCTACACGATTAACGAGCATAAAAAACTTGAATCCCAAGCTAAGGTGCACCTCATTTTCCTATTTTCTTGGATTATAAGCCAATTCTGGGAATAAAATACGATCATTTACAGTGAATATAGGTAAATAAAGCCTGTGACAACCATAAAAACGTAGGAATAGAGTGTAATATCTGTTCCTTTCTTCTTTATCCTTATTAAATCTAACAATAAGTTATAAGTTTGTCATGAACTTGGGGTTGGGTGAGTGTAATAAAGAGAACTATGGCCTGTTCTGTGGATGAAGTCAGTAGATTATACCAAAGTACAGTATTAGGTATTATAATTTTATGACAGTGATGAACTCACTGTACAGATGAATTGGGATAAAATCTTGAAAAAATATCACCATAACTGTTAGTTTTCTATCAAACAGGAAATTTTCTTTATACCAAAATTTTTACTTTCATATTATACAAGGCCAGTTATCTACAAGATATGAAAACTTGAGATAATGTTTCCTCCTTTTCTCCACCTGATTATAGTAATGCAATAAATACCCTTTCAAAAAAACAAGACATGAACACTTTCCCAATGTCAGGAGTAAAAATTTATACAATATTAAGACATGGACTAAACCAGAAGTCGGAGAAAAGTCTCTACTGTTTAAATAGTCTTTTATTTGGAAAAATATTCCATGTAAATACTGTGTATGGATCCTCACCAGAGAGCCTTCATATGGTTAGTGTGCAGACATTTGTTTACAAGGCATATACTCAACTATTATGGAAATGAAGACATGTTAGGTTAGATTAGGTTAATCTTGTAAGCAAATGTCATGGAACCCATAACAGTAGGTATAGTCATGAAATTCTACCAACTAATCAGAGACTAATAATGTTAAGCATAGAACAAGATGATAATTAAATGGTTTAAAAATAGCCTCAATATAGTCTGCAATGTTAATTGCAAATCATTCCTGAATTTTTTAATGTTTAATATAAACTGTAATAATAATAAGGATAAAAATACAATGATAATGCTTATTTTAGAATATATCCTTTATTAAAAGCAGGATATGTTATAATATATGGATGATCAAGAGTAAAGTATTTTAAAAGAAAAATCATCCACAAATTTCACAAATAAATTAATACGGAATATCCACGTATGTATGCAAAGTGTAAATTAAAAAAAATAATAATAATAATTAAGGCATACAGTACGTTATGATTTCTCCAAGGTATATGTTCAGAAAATTCCAGAAACTGCGTTTTTTCTGGTCTATGAATAATTTGGGGATTTTACGGAAAGTCTCCAAATTTTTCTGTTCCGAGGTTAGGTTAGAAAGTCAATTCCAAAATCTTCCCTGGAACTGGAAAAATTCCCCATCAATCAAATGATACCAAGATTTATTTCTTCAGTATTGGTGAAAGGTGAATAGTCAGCTGTATCTCTACCTGTAAGTGAAAATAAAGTCATTAATATTGTGTTAGTTAAATTTGCCAATTCTGAAACATCTATATTTATGAGGGTTAATATTTATGTTTCCAACATCTAAATATTGAGGGTAATATTGTTTGTTAAAAAAAAAAAAAATAAAAAATTCCAAAGGAAACTCAGATTTGTTTGGTTTGATATGCAACACACACTAAAAAAATTATTGTTTTTTCTCATGTACTGTAGTGTATATTGTTATGGTGATTCCAAAACTTTGATCCCTTTTTTTGGAGAAATTCATAGAACAAAAATTATAAGCCCTATAAAATTTTAATGATCTATATAAAAATGTTAACCTAACCTACCTAACTTAACCTAACTGGAAACTTACTTAACTATCATAAAATAAAGTATACTGTCTTTCATATTTTAAAGGGTGGATTAAGGCCAAATTCACGTAGGTTAATTTCTGGTTACAGTTAATTAGTCAAGTCTGACATATTTCTGTTGACATCATTAGAATGTACGTATATCACATTTATTGAAGATTCATAATTTCATTATCTTTGAATATCCAAGAATTGTGATATAAAAACAATTAACGGTAAAGGCAGTCATACCTGTGATTACTTTCTACAATTATTACATCTAGCTATAATTGAGTGGAGCATCAAGGTGAGTTAGGTAAGATACAAGGAGTTTAAAGGTGAAAATGTATTACAGTCTCTCCTCGACTTATGACGGTGTTCCGTCCCGACGACCAGGTCGTAATACCTGAAATATTGATATTAAATATTATCATCAATGGCTTCTTTTGGTATTAAACAATACATTTTGGTGCTAATTTTTTCCTCTAACATTAAGTAGCTTTAGTGTATAGGGTGAAACATCTATCATGAAGTGACTGTCATTTGAACTTTACAGAGTATGAATTTGTAAAAAAAACAAAACTAATGATTTTGATCTACTCATAATCAATTGGGTAAAATTATTGTTTAGGTCATCCACCTACTTGGCATTTGAAAAAACATAATTTCAATGTAACCAAACCTAACCTAACCTAATTTAACTAATCTAACATAACCTAACTTAACAGGTAAAAATCGGTCAACTTAAAATCATTCATTTCACTGGATGGCCAAAAAGATAATAATATCATCAATTCCATTTACTTCAGAAGGACTTATTCATTTCTGTTGAAATCATGGACATACAAAGCCAATATATCTACATTTGATTCTACCAGTGTAAATGGCAAAGTTAATTAATATCACCACTCCAACTGTTGCCCCAAAAGTCGTAAAGTAGTTCTTTCTTGTAATACATTGAGTCACTAAGGGAATAAAAAAATAAAACATGAATTTAGGTCACTGAATTTATATTATTAGTAACAAATTGTGGTTAAACTGATACACACATGAAACATGCCTGGGAAGTACCTGGTACTGGTTATTTGGCATATTTGGACTCATTAAAATATGAAATTTAGGCTATTAAGTATTTATACTAAGGAAATAATTATTTTGGTAGTGCTGGACGGTTACTAATTGCCACCATTAAGAAAACTGGGTCGATAGTAATTCTGATAAAGGACGTCATTCACCATCCCAAAGGAAGTAGTTCTCACCATTCTTCACATAGACCACTTACGATTTTTTTAGCTTGATTTGATTTCCATACATTTCTACACATAAATTAGTTGTATTATTTATCTTAAAGGCTTACCTTTTATGATGGTTTGGCGAATTTGGAGGATATTGTGGGGTATGGGTTTGGTTCACACTCAGGATGGGATGGAGAAAGGAAACTCACAATGTGCTCTCTATATACATGTTGTATTGGATGTACAATGCAGCTTGGTGCTGGGAAGGCAGCATGGTTACAAGTGTGATGTAGAGAGAGCTGGTTGGTGAGGACGCTCAGAGAAGGACAGCTTGTGGGTCGCCATGCTCGCCAACGGGAGAGAGGACCGCCAGGCAGGCGGAGGAGGGAGGGCCGCCAGGCAGCGGCAGAGGAGGAGGTGTTGCTGGCTGCGGCTGTAGGTAGAGAGAGAGGCAGATCACCACGAGGTCAGGTCTTAAATAGCGGGGGTAGGCGTGGCTTAGCAGTTGACCCCCGCTCCGTGGTGTATGGCGGCGCTGGTTGACCTAGACCACGAGGCATACACTGGGGAATTGGTGGGGTCGGCTAGGCAGCGACAAACAGCGTTTGTAGGGGAGAATTCCACTACAATATAAACGGCGATGAGACACGTAGAGGCTGGCGGCATTGTTCGTACACAAACATGGAACCCTTTTAAAAAGAACAATACAATTCTTCATGTGCTGTTCTATATAGAGTATATCTTATAAAAAATATTATTCCTTTGTAGGTTTATACATTTTATGTGCATCCAAATCAATTTTCTTTCTTTGGGTTTCAAAATATAGTTCCATCGTAGTGCTCATCGGGCGGGGGTACGAGTACCACGAAATTCTCCCACATTCCAATAACGAATCGTTCATATTATTATTTTAATAGCCCAGAACAATTCTTGCACAACAACCATGGGGCTACTGCAGCATGGTATACACCAGGGCTGATCTTGCAATTGGCCCTAACTCCAAGGCCTTAAAAGCATTTTTATCCTTGGGCTTAGAAGTGTACAAATCATCATGTGCCACAGAAAGATTTCTGGTTGAAGCTAGTTTGATTAGAGAAATGTATTCTTTAAGCATTAATGATGGTCAGTACAAAACTGATAATATGTGTAATGATGGGTTGTCAGACCACAGCTTACATCGCAAGGAAAGCCAGACTTGACCCGACATTAGGGGGGTCA